CTCAAATCAATATTCAAACAACTGAGACATAGACTACTTTCACTTGTTATGAGGTGCAAGCCTCAAGGTGCTCTACATGCGCCTCACCCAAAGGCACACCCTAAATTATGCAACATTAATTAATGGCTTGCATCTTCTATTTATTTCACTTTGGCATATAAAGTGATCTAGCTCTTATTATATTTCTTTATTTGTTTCCCAACTTTTAAAGTTTTAGAATACTTTGGTTAAGTCACTTCATATCTTTTATTAGAATTAATGCCATTTATTTTAGGTTCTAATGCATAAAACTTTGCCATCTTTTCCTTTACAAAACACTTCATGAGATAAGCATGATCCTTCACTAGTTTACTAATCTAAACTTTTCATTTATTTATTCCCAGCTTTCTTTTCCCCAATAAAATGATTATGTACACGCGCTAGTGTTTTCTCGCACTATTCTTTTATTTAATTAATGGAGTATGTGGAAAGTTTGTGCATGTTTCATCCAAGCATTTGTGAGTTTGTAAATTGTGTGTTACTGCCTGTTCTTATTTCATGTACGCTTTCTAGTTTGATGACACTTCCTATTTCATTGTATGCATCTTACTTGTTAATGGTGTGCGCCATGGCGTATGATGCAGCACTGCACACCTACGGTGCCAGCGGCGCATAGGATCAAGTTGGCACGCGCCATGTGCAGGCAATGGTGCATGGCGCGCATGATTTTATTTTGTGATTTTCTTATATAGTTTTAATTTCTAAATAATATAATAATAAATATTAGTTTATTAGTTATTGATTTATTAGTTGCACTCGAATGAACCCTCACGTAGTCGAATCCCCGATCCCTCACAAACACATGAGATTTCGCGATTCCGCATGAGATTCCACCATCATGCAATTCCACCTATTGTTCATCCCTTGTATTCCTTCCTTTTTCCGCTCCATGTTCGTCCGGGTGATTACGCTCATCTTCATCCATCTGTTAATTACAAAATTAAGAGATCCTGTGTGCTTCGTCGTATTCCTTCAATAGTCAACTCGTCTGATTCCTCCGAAGTCAAGGGTCGTTGTTAGGTAATGATCTCCTTCTTCTTGCTTTGGTCAATCGATTGATCCGCTTGCCTTTTTTTTCATTTAGATTATAAGTTTAGGGCAAATGCACATGCTACAAGTAGATTATAAGCTTAGCAAAAATGCTAAGCAGAAGAAACGAAGTTTGAGTCCAAGAATGAAGGAAAATATCTGTGTGGGTAAGGTGTATTTTTCAATTTTAAAACTTTTATTAGCAGCAACTTGTATGTACTTTAGTTAAACATGGGCTTGATCATCTCAATATAATTTACATGGAACTTATCAAAATTCATCCATCAATCCTAATAATATCTTCATGATATACCAAACAAATTTAAAGAGTCTCGAGTCATGAGCTTCATTAAAATGCCTACCTATATAGTAATATTTTAATATAATTTACATGCATATTATTCTATTTTATTTTAATTGTTTTTTATTCTGTGTTGTGTTCAAAATGGCGCGTGCACCGTACGCATTGCGCATTTGCGCCATGACTCCACTGGTAACTCTGTGCTATGATGCATCATTCACCGTTGACAAGCATGATATGCACTAGTTTCCATCGTATTTGTAATTTTGTAGTGTTGCATGACCTTTTGTGTTCTTGTTCAGGTTTCCTCTTTAAGTAGTGTTTGATTCTATTGAATGACCCGATGCTGATTTTGTCTAAATTCTATCAATAAATTTTATTTGTTTTAGTTGACCTCTTACCTTGCTTAGTAGTATCATATTCTTTTGTCTAAAATAAGCATATTTCAGGTGATGCAACAATCTTATGATATGCTAAATTTTTCAAAATCAATTTGCAAGGTTATACAATTAAATATACTATATATTTTTCTTTGGATTATGACTACCCAAATCAATCTCACCCTTCCATGATAACTACATTTTCTTATTTGCTAAAATAATTTTTTTCTATTGCTAAAAGCTTCATTAATTTTTTGGGCCTCCAATTGCGTGCTTTTGCTAAATTGCTCATAACATATCTACACCATATTGAAAGGTCTGTTACAATTAACCTTTCTTATTTGTGCTTCTGGTACAGTGTATTAATGTTTAATAGAAATTCAAAATAGTATATGCAGCATTCATGAGGTTTGATGATTTTTTTAAGTAAATGCTTAAGTAATGCATAGATATGCTCGCAATACAACAACAACAACAACATAAAGCCTTTATCCCACTACGTGGGGTAGGCTACATGAATCTTTATTCTCCATTGTGCCCTATTAAAAGTCAAATTCTCGTTTAAATCTCATAGATGAAGATCATTTCTAATATTTTCTAACCAAGTCTTTCTAGGTCTGCCTCTACCTTTCTTAACATAAATCTAATACCTTTACCTTCCTAATCGGGTCATTAGAAGACTGTCGTTTTATGTGATCAAACCATCTAAGGCGACTCTCTCTAATCTTATCTTCTACTAGAGCTACTCCAACCTTTTCACGTACATGCTCATTTCGTATCATATCTCTAAGGGTAAAGTCACTCATCCACCTGAGCATCCTCATCTCTGCCACACTTAACTTAGTATTATGCTTCTCTTTTAATGGCCAACATTCGGCACCATAAAGCATTGCAGGCCTCACCACCATCTTATAGAATTTTCCCTTAAGTTTGAGGGGTACTTTTTTATCACACAACAAGCCCGATGCATTCTTCCACTTCAACCATCCAACTTGAATTTTGCTGATAATATCCCCATCTATTTCACCATCACTCTGAATAATAGATCCAAAATATCTAAAACGTGTACTCTTATTAATGACTTGATCGCCCCAAGTCCCAATCCCCTCACTAGGTCTATTACTACTAAAATTACACTCCAAATATTCCTTTTTAGATCTGCTCAAACGAAAACCTTTAGACTCTAAGGTTGACCTCCATAATTTAAGTTTACCTTCAACTCCCTCCCTCGCTAGTCTTATCAAAAGAAGAATATCATCAGCAAAAAGCATACAACAAGGTACCTCCTCTTGCAAATGTTTAGTGAGAACATCCAAGACTAAAGCAAAAGATGAGGGCTTAAGGCTGATCCTTGATGTAACCCAACTGAAATAGGGAAATACTTGGTCAAACCACCTTGTGTTTGAACACAAGTAATAACTCCTGCATACATATCTTTAATGATTTGAAAATAAGTGTTATTAACTCCTTTCTTCTCAAGAACTCTCCACAGAATTTCTCTTGGAACTTTATCATATGCTTTTTCTAAATCAATAAATATCATATATATATCCTCTTTATTTTCTCTATATTTCTTCATCAAACCTCTTAAAAAATGTATGGCTTCCATAGTCGACCTAACCGGCATAAATCCAAATTGATTTTGAGAAACATTAGTATCACGCCGCAACCTATGCTCCATAACTCGCTCCCATAGTTTTAAAGTATGACACATTAACTTAATTCTTCTATAATTCGCACAATCTTGTGCATCACCTTTATTCTTAAAAATAGGAATTAACACACTCATTCTCCACTCATCTGGCATCTTTTTAGTCTTCAAAATAGTATTAAAAAGTTTAGTAAGCCAAGAAATCCCTTCATCTCCTAAGCATTTCCACACCTCTATTGGAATATCATCAGGTCCAACAGCTTTTCCACCATTCATTCTATTTAAAGCCTCTCTAACGTCAGTTTTACTAATACGCACAAAAGCTTCTTTACCTTCTCTGAAATCCAAAATAGCCCGAAAAAAAAAAAAAAAAAAAACCTGGAGGTTGGAGATCATAGCAAAGTCCGTTATCTCACCACAATTGATCACAAAAGCTCACACGTCCTACCCTGGTGGCAGCTAAGGATTTATTTATACAAAATAATACTTTTTTCTCTATTTCTTTGTTGTTTTTCTCCCTTGCCTTCTTGCAGGATTGGAGATACAACAGTTGTATGTGAAGTAGAGTGTAGATCTATCCAAAGATACTTTACCAATGCAGTGGATCAAGAGTGCGAGAATAAGAAAGATTGACAAGGAGAAGACACTTCGTTGCAAGAATTATATTTTAAGTTCTCTGTCAACTCTTTATTTCATTATCTTGTTTTCTTCTTTTGGTTAGCAGTAATCTGATTGTGCTTGTCTTGTTTTCTTTAAAGGAAGGGTGCAGTTGAATAACATTGCAGAAATCCAAAGGAAAAAAACTCAACTGTGAAGTCTTCGCTGCAAGCTGGAAGGAGAAAGAAACCAGAACACTGAATCAAGAAGAGCATGGGGGAGTTGTGTTCCTACATTTCTTCATCAAAAGCATTTTCTTGAACAAAGAATCACCCTATTTTAGAATTGTGAAACTGACTTAGATTTATGAAAATCAGGGAATTCATTCAAGTACTAGGGGACGGTTGCTGACATCCATCAAAACCTATTTCTTGTTGCTTTGGACTCGGCAATAAAGCTTAACTTTCCTATCCAGTCATTTTTTGGAGTTCTTTTGTCTGCTGTCGTCATTACAAAGAGGAACGACTCTTGTATTTAGAATTCTTTAGGGGGTAAATGTGGCATGAACCAGCATTGAGAACCTAGTCCCAATATTTCTAAATCTGGATGTCAGTGAAAATTTGTTTCGAATCAGCGTTTGGGACTCTTGTAGCGATTGGTTTGAGATTGATCCTTCTTGTGAAGATTTTCAGTCATCTATTTTTTTTGTTTTCTCATTGTAGTCAACCCTATTTTCAATTCTCTAATTTTAATTTGCCTAGTAAGCGGTGTCAAGTATGTGTCTACCATGATTTTACTAATAATTCAATAGTTTCATGCTTTCTAAAAAAGTAAATTTAAAATAATTTTATTTTTATTATCATTAAATTTACATTTTTATTATGCTCTATTCTATTTTTAAAATCATGATAGCTGCACTTGATGCGTGTGGAATTAAACCAGTAGTGTATAAATGGATGCAATGAAAGAGGGAAAGGAGCACCAAGTATGTAGTGAAACTAACCTCCACATTAGGGTCAAACATGTTCTTCAGCAGCAAACATTCGCTGGGAATCCCAATATTTTCAACAGTTTGAGTGGTTGTAGCAAAAGCCAATGCAGCAGTTGGTAAGCCTGCAAGTCCAGGTATGGCCGATTGTATCAGAGGATTTAGTGGAGGAGCGCCTAGAACTGATGCTGGTGGCACAGGTAGGAGAGGAGTACTGACGGGAGCAACAAGAGCACTGGAAACACTACATCGAGAAGAAAATTATAAATGAAAAACCATATATCACAAATTGTCATATATATTTGGTTCCACATATATAGATTATCATCATGAGCCGAGCAACACGAGCACCGGCAAAATACGTCAAGGAGAAGATTATATATGGATAAAATCATAAAACACAAATTTCATATATATTTGGTTCACAGTATGCATCATCACAGTAGCCATGCTCATCTATTTGGGTCAATTCTACTAATCATCATTTTCTATTCTTTCCAAATGGAAATGAGACCTACATAAAGTGATAAATCTATTTCCTTTTTTGTTTTTTTTTTTTGCAAAATTTATAATCATTTTTTTTAGATCTACCTATTTTCTTCGTAATCCTTTCACATCAATTATATCAACCTATGTTAGCAATGCATCTTCTACACTCCATTGTACATATCTATAATATCTATTTTCTATTGTCCTATTCCCAATAGCTACTACTCTCACAATGCCTTTAATATATATCTTGCATTGGTCCTTCAACATTTTGCTTGGTGTTATTTGTAAGAGCTGTCACTAGTTAATTTTGTTTTGGTGATTATTTGTATATTTTTCAATTTACATGATTATACTATGGTGTGTCTATAAATAATCCTTCACCCCATGTTATAAAGACACTTCAATTCATTTCTTTCCAACTGAATTTCTTCTCCTCTCCTACTTTTTCCGTTCATTCTCACTATTTTTACCTTTAGCTAGCTATCAAGTTCTGTTCAAGATTTGTGACTAATACGGATTCTCGCCCCGAGAAGCTGTTGTTGCTCTAAAAATGTTCAATAAAGATTCTCATTCCATAAATACACTTCAATTCATTTTTTTTCTAGTGAATCTCTAATCCTTTCCTATTCTACCTTAACTTCTCTCTGTTTTCCCATTTGCTGTTTATCAAGTAAGAACCATGAGCAATAAGAATTATAGTCCTTGAGTAGTTGTGCTTTCTCTGAAGATGTGTTGTTGGTGGCATGAAGTAGCAGAATCGTTTAGCTACTACAGGAGTTCTATAGGTGTGTTGTTGGTGACATGAAGTAGAAGTTTCATTTAGCTACTACAGGAGTTCTATGGTGACACAGGTAAGTAAGCATTTGCAGTTCATGTTTCCTGTTATGGGCGAGTTAAAGTGCTTGATGCAGACAAAATCTGCTCCAAGGCACAAATGAAGGACGTGTTGGATGCAAGCGGATAACCCCAATTGAGATCAAAGAAACAGAGAAGGCTTTTCCCTATGCAGAACCAGATAAAAACCGGGGACAATTTAAGGGCAAGAAAGGAGTCATGTTGACTATCGTTATTGTAGTTTGTCAAGAAGTTAGATGGTATAAGAGCTAGTTTAAGAATATCAAGGAAGGATGCCAAAGAATAAAAAACATGCTAATGGACCAAGTTTAGATTGAAAAGTTCACCAATCTTAATGATTTATGCCATTGGAGATTGAAAATTAAAGCACTCCTTATGTATGAAGGCTTGAAAACGGCTCTATTGGAGGAGGCAATCCTGAAAGTAAAAGAAAGATTACACGAAGAGTTGTTGAACAACAAAGCTCACAGCGTAGCTCTGCTAAGTCTTGGTGATGAAATGCTATGAGAAATTGTGAATGAATGAACAGCCATTGAAATATGAAGAAGGTAACACTCCTTGTATCTCAAGTATTCTTTGGCTAATGGTTTCTATTTCAAGAAGAAACTGTATGCATTGCAAATAGAAGACTCCAAACCCTTGAATAAACACAGAAGATCTTAATTGAATAGATCTTGATTTGAAAAGCTTGGGTGTGAGAATAGAAGATGAAGATCAATCAATTATTCTACTAAGTTCATTATCAAGTAGGTATGAACATTTTGTTGACACAATATTTTATGGAAAGGATTTCTTGGCTATCTCAAAAGTAAAGGCTGCACCTCAAAAGAAATTTAAAAAAAAAAAGTCTAATCAAAAGATAATATAACTTAAGGGCTAAAAAATGTGAGGAAGATTAAGAAAATGAAAGCAATCTAAGAACCAATCAAGTTAAAGGCAAAAAGAAAATATTTTCTTTGTTATAAAGACGGCCATTTCAAGTAGTGCCTTGAGAGAAAGAACAAGAATCAAGATAGGATCAAGATGGAAGAGATGCTGCGATATTGGAGGAAAAGCATGACTGCCAATGTCCTATCAATCTCATATTCTAATAAAACAAGGAATGGATCCAAGATTATGGATGCCCCTGCCATATGTAACCAAATAAGAGTTGGCTTGAGCCTCTTCAAAAGGTCAACATCAACGAAGGTGATAGGCACCTCAAAAGATGTCATCATGCTTAGTGTGATGAACCAATTCTGATTGGAATCGCTTAAGGCTTAATTGACTTTAAATATCAGCCCCAACTCCAAGAATTACTAGTACTATCCCTTAACGTGAATCGTTTGTGCTAGTACAATTTCATTATTATTCTCTGCCATAATCGCCTAATCAAGGTATTAGGCTGGATCAACAAGGATGAGCTCTTTGAACTTATCGGTGTGACTAAGTTATTCAATTACACATTGAAGGTGAGGCCAATCCTCTATATCACCACCATGATCTATGTGGCAGACATCATATTAAAGGGTCATAAGCATATGGTTTTGTACGCATTAGTACAGAGTAGCTAAAATACTTCTTGTCATGTATGCCATCTATAATCTCAACTAGTGAAACTCAAAGATGAGTGTAGGTAAGGTCAAGTACATTGAACGTTGCAGCGACATCTCCCCTAACGAGGGATCATAGGACTTCATGTCATTATAGTGCTTCTCAAGGTGGAACACTTGTGTGATGATATTGAAGATAAAATCTCTTAGTTGACTTTTTTCAATGCTAGCCTATGATGCACCGACACTTCTCAAAGAGAGGTGAAGTGTCAAACACATATCCAACACGACACATGTCTGACACACCTCCGACATGTGTCGGACATTTGTCGTGTTGGATACATGTCAGACACTTCACGCCTCTTTGAGGAGAAGTGTCGAAGCATCATAGGCGCCGAAAACGTGTCCAATTAAAAAAATATTATACACAAATTGGAAACGTGTGTCTAACACACATGTCTTAAATACTGTATGAATCATTTATAAAATATAATTTCTTGTGATTAAAATTTTTATTTATTTAAAATATAAAAACTAAATTTCTTATTTAATATCCAAAATATCAAATCAATCCCCAGCACTCAATACTCAATTCAATGAATATTCTCATTTTCATTTATCTTTGTCGGGTCGCGACTTTGATTTCACAATAATGCTTGATATTAGGGGTGTCAATATTGGACCCAACCTGAAGACCCGACCCGAACCCAATTCAAAAATTTCGGGTTTGGGTTGACTGAACCCGAAACGGGTCGAGTTCGAGTTGACACGTTGACCCGAAATTGACTAGAAAATGACCTGTTTTGTACCCAAAAAAACCGTTTTTGACCCAGCAACCTGAGATTGACCCGTTTTTTGACCCGAAAAGCGGAGTTTGGCCCGTTTTTGGACCCGAAAACTAGCATTTTTTTGCCTGACCCGGGTCATTAGGGTCGGATCGGGTTGACCCGGACCAGAAACGGGTCGGGTTCTGGTCCGAAAAACCGACCGATTTGCAGAAACGGGTCAGGTTTGGGATGACCTGAATAGTGTCGGGTCAGTTTCAGGTTCGACCCGAACCCGACCCGTGACCCAAAATTGACACTCCTACTTGATGTTATTTCAACATTGAAATCTGACGTCGTTAAAACATAAGCATTTAAACACCATCTCAACAGCAAGGTCTGATATTGTCTTGACATTGATGGTCAACGCTAGCAATTTCTAAACCCACAACTTGACAGCTCATCTTTGTCTGATATCATCTTAACATCGACGACCAACACCTTCTCAACATCGACGACAAACGCCCTCTTAAGTCTTAACATCGATGCTCGACTCTCGATAGCATTGTCGTCTCCTCTCTCGATGTCTGATACATGACGTTAACGCCAGACTCTCGACATCTTAATATTAATTATTTTAATCACAAATTCTAGTTAAATGAATTAGTATTTTTAAATCATTTTTAATATTATACTTTTCAATTTTTATAAACTATTTTTAAAATATAAAATTATAATATCATATCCAACTCGTATCTGTCCTACATTTTTAATAATTGACGTGCCTCGTGTCTATGTTGTGTCATATCTATATCGTCGCATCCGTATCTGTGCATCATAAATGCTAGCATGACTAGTTCCACTAATAGTCATGCTAGCATGTCACTATGAACTCCCATGAGTAAGAAATGAAGAGGTTTGGAAATCAAAGTCATTAGTTAATAAAAGTCAAGCACACCTTAATAAAATGACCACCTAAGACCCTAAGGAAGCAATGTCTGTGTTTTGATTCTACACATCATTTTTTATGATATGTGAGCATGTTATATAGACTACAATGTGCAATTATGTTAAATTATGATATATGAATTATACAGCTATGCTTTATATATACATACACATACACTGATACAAATTTTAGTCATACTTATCTATATGAATGTATATATTTAGACATACACACAAGTATCACATATCAAGTTGTTATAAGAAGAGAGGAAATAGCCATGATTAAATACGCTTAAGAATATGTTGCGTTAGAAGATAGTTGGGTGGGGCTATGCAACCTTGATGGGCATTGTGACCTAATAGAGGCAATGTGACTTGCATATGATAAAGCCTACGGGACATGAGACATGTAGGTTGTAGAGCATAAGGACTATAGAGGCAATGCGACCTCAAGAGCCTATGGGCTGTAAAACCTAAAGCAAGACATCTAAACATGACATTTTTTGGGGTTGAAAAAGGAAGATATAAAATGAACAAAAGTCTATAGCTATGATTATATGTTTTGATGGTATGAATTACAGATCACATACAACTACAACTGGCATAGAACAATACTATTAATGATATACAATAGGTCATTGAATGTGTAATTCAGACGAGCATAATCCTTACATATTACATGGTAGGTATCATAACTTGTATATATTCCATATTACATTTACTGTAAACTTAGGTGGCTTATACATTACATGCATAGATTGATTTACCTATTGTACTCATACTAATTAATTAATTATTACACTTGATTATTGCATTAGAGTTGCATATCTTTATGGGTGTTGTAACTTACTAGATTATTATTCAGATTGTTATTACATGAAAGAAAAAAAAATGTGGAGCCAGAATAGTGATAGGTTCAATTTTTATTTCATGTTTACCTTTGTCAATGTGAGAAGTGTTTGATGAGAGGTCCGTAATATATTCATAGCTACATATTTTGGGTTTCCCTATAGTTTCTTTGCAGATGAAAAATTTTGGAAATAAAATTTCGAATAGCCTCCGCTTTTGATTGATGGTTCAAGCTATTGATATTTTTAATTATGCTTTATTCAGAAGTCATGAATTTTTTTTTTAAATGAAGGTTAAAATTGTGCAAATGAGGGGTGTGACATGCTTCACAAAAATAAGCAGAAGAATCACCGTAATGGTGCCTTCCTGCAAGTTCTAAAGAGCAATTGCAAATCCCAGCATGAGTCAAAGAATAGAAATCAAAAACTCGAAATGAGAGACATGGTCAGTTGACTCCTACTTCCATCTATAGGAATCAAGCACTGACATGCATAACAGTGCTAGTCGAGCTTGATGTTTTGCAAGACATCAAGGGAGAGGAGTCTCAATAGTGCTTGCCTAGAGCATGAGCATGAGCATGAGCTTAGGCAACAACTCTTGGAGTTTCGCAGTATTTACACCAAGGAGAGATTGCATATTCTGATTCTCAAAGGGAATAAAGAATAGAAACAGCTTGCGGAAAGCACTAAAATGAACCCTAGATAATCCTTCATTTGCAGTTTCTCTGAGGTCATATTTCATTAGATCGCTTATTGTGAAATGACTTATCACAATCTCCAAAGTGATCTATGTATTAGTTCCTAGTATTCACATTTTTCATGCACAACATACCAATGAGGATGTTGGATCCAAAGTTGTCAATGGAAAGATATCAAAATTTTACTAGAAAAATGAACCAAGCCTAAAGAGTGCTGAGAGACATAGAAATGCTAGGTCTTAATGAATCTCTCAAACTACAAAGAACCTGATCGAATATCTTTGAATAAATAAGGCAAATTGAATCAAGCTGCAAAGAAATATTCAATAAGAAAAAGATCCCATAGAGAATTTTAGTGAGATTCCATATGATGGTACATGTGAGAATTCAAGCGTGATGCTCGTACTCAACAAGTCACCCCCTTATAATAAAGGGATAAAATAGGGAGTCAAATCAGCATTATAGAATTGGCTATATAATGCATTTGCATAGAGAATGCATAAGTTGAACTTGGTATAGCATGTTATGAAGCAAATGAGTTAAACTCATAAGCCAGTTGCTAGCGGAAGGAACTTCAGGCAAGTTCCAAATAGAGTATCAATTACAAGTTCTACTAACAAGAACCCCTAATCGATTGTCGAGTAGTCTAGACGAGTTAATGAGTTCTTTTGAACTAATTGCCTCAATTAATAGGAGAACTTGTAAGTCCCTCAGGACAGTTTAGCTCCATAGTATTGCGGACAAAGTTAGACCAAATTATTACGTGAATTGTTCGAGATGCATCTTTGGGCAACTTGAAGGATTGAGTAACTTTAGATTTTCTGAGTAGAAATTGGTTCAAGCAAGTCCTCATTCAGCACACATTGAACCAAATTCAAGTTCTAATAATGATTTGAATAACTCAATCTAGACGAATATGGGTGTACAATGTCCAAGCTACAAAAGTTTACTTTCGGTTAGCTTATTTTCAATAAATAGCACCCCAATCTTTTTCTTAACTTAATCATTCCTTAATTTATTCTTCCTAATTTTATCACACATTCATCTTAACATTCTCGTAAAGATACAAATTCTAATCAAGATTTTAATGGTCATCAATGCTACAACATTTGGTTTATTAAACTTTGCAATTTGATCACTTAATTTATAGGCAAATGTCTCAGATCACTCAGTAAGAAGAGGTGCCTGCTCCAAGTAGTAGCATTAAGCCAATTGCAGGAACCATGACGTCCACTTAAGCATATTTTTCTGATGAAGTCATTTCTTCGTTTGGGACTGATGGAAAAGTATTCATTTATGGATGTGCCAGCATGCGATTAGAAATGCTTGTCATGTGAAAAATTCGTTGCATTATTTGTCACATCAAAGCTAGTCAAGTACAGCATTAGATAGTTCTCCGACACTCGATTTTGATCCCATATTATTCTTCATTGAAGTAGTTTCTATATGGTTTCATCATGGAAAAATAAATACACAGCTCAACATGTGAAATAAATAAGCAAGTAATAAGCTGCATGCCTATACATCCTGCAAAATTCTCATGAAATCATTAAATCAATATCAGTTCACTAAAATATAAAAATAATTTATGTTTTCTCAATGACTAAAGGAAACCAAATAGGAAAATACAGTAACTAAACACATTATTTCGAAAAAAAAAAAACCAGAAAAAAAAACTATCTAGACAGTAATAATAAGTAGGATGGCTATCCTCATCACGCACAAAAAAATAACTTTCTGTACAAATAAACAAGTTTAATGGTACTAACTTGGTAGCCGTGCCACTACGATCCAATTTCTGCATCAGAAGAGCTCTAGAACGTGCATTTAGAGACTGCAACAATGCAGCATAAAGGTGTTACCAAATACAGCAGGAATGAACTTTGATAAGATTTTGACACATAAGGTGATATATATATATATATATATATATATATATATATATATAACCTGCCACTAAATGTGGCATAAACACTGAAACATGGGACTTCAGCCCAGTGAGTTTAAATATTAAATATTTCATAAACAACAAACATGATTACAAAATCAAAAAGAATTTTGAAATAAATTCCTAAATCCATAATAGATGAGTCAACGACAACATATGCAAAGAGATATCCCATAACAAATTTAATGATGAAGTGCAATGTTGGCAAGCCGTTGTGCGGCAAAGATGAGTTTAACAAAAAGGACACAAAGGGGAGTTTAGCATAGAGCTCAGCAAAAACTTCCGGTGACTTGGTGAGGTAGAGAGATAGTGGTGAGAGAGTATTGGCAAAGCAAGCTAAGAGCCAAAGACAGACCAGAGTCCCACCACATGGGGAAGATGAAGGAAAATGGGCTTAGGGCTTCAATGTATATGTCAGCTTGTAGGAGAGAAATCAATTTGATAGACTTAACTCTTAAGAGATCAAAAGGTGAATAATCCCTTAATTCCTATTTTTATTTAAATGAAAAAAAAAGTTGCCTATAAATGTTAATAATTTAATAATTTGATAATTTCATTTGAATTAATCTTCAAATATATACATTCATTAAATTTCAACTATGCGACTACAAATGCAAGAACAAAATTATCAATTCTCTTTGATGTAATAAAGTGGCATATGCTATATGCTATTCCAAAATTTTTTAAATCAATCCGAACACAAATGGTTGAGATTTTATGAGAAAATAATTTAATGTGTAGTGTCTTTCAAATGTATTCAATTAAATGCACTAATTTTTAAATGACATTTTGGGTATATTTGAGGGTTTTGATATGTGAAATGTGCAGGTTAAACAAGACATTTAAATTGGCTTTATATATCAAGTCATCATCCTTAATTTTCATGCATATTTGATGAAGTAAACTATAATGCAAAATAATGAAATTCGATCCACCAATAATTTCATGTTGTAGATTATAATTATACTGTGACTTTAAATTTGAAGAGCATGTATGACAAAAGAGATTGAATTTTCACCTCAATGGTCACTCTCCTCAATTTTTTTTTTACTACCATTTTATACGGTGTTCTCAAGATCACACTATTTATTTTGTATATTAGATGTAAAATAAACTTGTGGATTGACTTTCATAAATATTCGTGATTAAACATTCATAAAATATGCAAAAAATAGAATCCAATAAAAAAGATTATTTTGAACCACGTATTTTACCAATAAAAACTGTCTAAATATCATTAGCAATCCATGTATTTAATTGAGATTTTTTTTGAAGCACCTAATTGATGAGCAAATAATCTAAAAAAAAATTAATAAAATAGTGAGTTTCGCAAATATTAATGTCTTCAAGAGGTCAGATGATTTTGAATTTCCATTAAAGCCACTTTCTAATATTAACATTTAAATAGGAAGAGAATGGTGACTCAATGAAAGTATAAATGTTGAATAATTCATAACAATTACTTTCCTAAAATAACAAAGAAATATTTTAAACTCCTTCCACGAACTTGAGGCAATTGAAGCAAAGATATTGGTGGGCTCCCATGGGGAGGAAATCTTAGGACTCTAGCACATGGCAAATTTCCAAGGTTAGCAAGTATGCAGCTATAGCACTGGGATTTCCCTCAAATTGTTGACATGGCTTCTTAGATGGCTTTTATGGTCAACAGATTGCTCAGATTAAGTAGTGATTCTATCAGCCATTATTAGCAGTTTTTTAAGCGCAATTGCTGCCTTTTTTTTCTTTTATGGTCAATTACTTCCTAATTTTACCAATTAGTAAATTACAAAATCCTTGAAATCTAGCCAAATAAAATGCGGAGCATATCACCTTCCTTTGTCACTCTCTTTTACGTCTTTCTTTCTTTCATGGTATTAGAGATAGATTCCATCTAAACAATGGCAGACAACTACAAAAGGACCTTACCAGGTCTAACAAAGGAGAGAAGTCGATTCTCTATCCACCTTACAAAGTCACACCATCATCCTAGGATGACAAGATCAAGAATTCTCCTATAAATTATGGGAAGAACCTCTTTCCAATGGCCTCGCTCAGTTCAGATGGTGATTCAAAGAAAAGGAAAGATAGGATACATAAATGGTATAATCATTCAACATGAACAGCTCAACCTTTCTTTTTCAACACGGGCTAACACATTGGAGTATTGTACTGGGAATACATGTAAACACCAAAAAATAGCATGAGCTATAGCACATAACGTGGCGTGGCGCACCACATATACCATTTTCATGACAAAACACAAGGGTCCGAAATAGCACGCACTATTTGTACCATGAACGGACATTAGCGCATAGCCCTTGTAGCACTTGCTGCTTTGATTTCTATGCTTTATGATTTAAAATTAATATTAATATTATTTATATTTTATTGTTAGTTTTATTTTATTAGAATTAGATATTATTAGAACTTCTAAAGGCTTAATGGTACACATGAGACACAATCTTAGCTTCAATTACCAAGGGCAAAGCTAGAGCCCTTAATGCTCACTTCAACAAAGGAGGCGAACATTAGCAAGATAGCCATTCACTCTCAGCTTCGAAGAAGGAGGGCAACACTAAAACCCGAGCTCTTGATGCTCTCAACTTTGACAAAGGTCGACACTCTCAGTTTCGATGGTGTTCAAAGCTCTTGGCTTCAACAATGGCGCACAAAGGCATCTACAAGTTATTGGTTTTGACAAAGGTGTTGCTCTTGCACTTTTGAAGTTAAAGTTTAGCTTTTTCTTTTGACACTAATATTTTAACTTTTTAAGGATTTCGTTAACATGATTGTTTCATATTTGATTCATTAATTTTCATACATTAGGTATTAAATAAATATACGATTTAGTTCAAACTAAAAAAAAAAGATTTAACAAGAAAATATGCAATCCAGTGGTCTTTCATAAATATTCCTGCATATAAAATTAGCTACATCATTATCCATATTTTTAATATTTTGCATTATGTTTAAAATGGCCAATGGTATGCCATTCCATATACACTATGGCTCCACGAAGACCTTTAAATTATAATGTGTTATTCATCATTGATAAGTATGATACTTAGTTTAGAACACCAAACAAGCAATATAAGAGAGAGTCAATATGGCTTACTCAGATATTACATTTTTTTCTCAATTGTATGAATTACTAAATCAAGTTTGTAGACTCAAGCAATGGAGCAAGATTTTTGCAAAATACCTAATCACTCTTACAAAAATCAGGCAAGAACTAGATATCATTGAGCCAAATGAGGGGAACTAGAAATGTGAGGCAAGAAAATCAAATTTGTGGCGAAAATAAGAACATTAAATTCTCTTGCAAGCCTCAATAAAGATCTAGATGAGGTATGTAAAGAATCTTAGCAATTCATCCACATCCCAATTGAAGAAGCATTTGTTTAAGTCAAAAGGGAAAAAAGAAAATGGAGAACAATGATTGAAAATTCTAAAAACATTCTCAAAATTGAAGAATGCACTCGTGCATTCAGAAGTTTGTTTTAAAACATAAGCATGCCCAATGCGTGGAAAGAGAAGTAATCTTTGATGTGGTGTCTATAAAAAGACTAATCACACAATAAATTTTTTTTAAAACTTCATAGCAAGCTAACAAGTTGACATAATCATCAAAATCATCACAAATAGAAAAGCTAATCAAACGATGAATTAAAGATGACAAGCAGTGAAAACCTTAGTAATATTTCCTTAAACAAAGAGCAATTGAAACTTCTGTATGAATAACTTACTCCCAAAAAAGTTTTCAATTTCAACCTTCTAGTCAAGAAAGGTACTTATTCCCTTGCCCATAACAATACTTAGGACAAAAATCCTAGATTATTGACTCAAGAGCGTCTGATAACAAGGCAGGTTGTGCGCTATTCTCCTATTACTCTCTCACCTGGAAACACTCTCGCCATGAAACCCCGAAGTCAAAATTGTTGATGGATCTCTAACACAGTAACACCTATTACTAAGACAGAGACCATTAGAATTAACCCCAAGTTTTGTGTGAATTCTTTCTTACATGTTTCAAATACCTCTTGCACCCAATTGTCTATTAGAAAGACAGATAAAGATCAAAATTATAAAATCACATTCATATAAAAATCTTAAGTATTTCAAGACCAAAAATGGGGAAGAGAATTGGCAATGCTAGAAAGGTCAAGGTTTGTATCACTTTAATGAAGATTCCAAAGAGATAAAAAAATGTTCATACTGTCAACAAAGACATTTCTATTCTTTTAAAATGAAATCAAATTATATTATAGCATTAGGTTAGGTGATGTGAAACCAACAAGAATTGCAAGGAAATAATAAAAGTATTGCGAAGCTTGCTACTTTAAGGTTAATGAGCCATAAGGCATGATTATAAGAATTTTCAATTATCAATTTTGTCGTAGTAAGCAATTATAAAACTCAGGAGATTAGAACAAGTTAAGATTATTCAGAAATTATCACAATAACACTAGATATATCGTACTAAAATCCATAGCTTAATATTTAGAAAGTTCACTAAGAGTTACCGTTCTCACTCACACTCAATATATGGTTTAAGTGGAGAGAAGCTTTCAGCACACTAAACGATGCCACTAAAATGGTAGTAACACCAATAGCTTTGATCCAAGAGAAGGTAGTCGGCAGTGGAGGAGGTGGATTGTCTGATGAGAAGCCAAGATGCTCTGGGTTGTTGAAGTTCAATTGTCTCGGCGGGGCAATAAAGGATGTGGTTGACGTAGCTTTCCACAGAGTCGTCGTATTCTCAATCCGTAAAGGAGAAAGTAGGATATCGATTTCTCCTTGTGCGTTGTAGGCAAAACTGTGGTCGATCTCAGGATCGGCCATACACCAATGATGAGAAGGAGAGAGGAGCTTGTCTTCTTCCTTAG